CAGTCAGTTACAAAACATTAGATCACATATTTTAGTTTCTATATTTAATCGTCGTTATACCTATTTTCTTGTTGCGAAGTACCGACAGAATTTTGTTTAAGGGCCATCCTATACGTACTCGCTTTATTTTGCCTGGGTTCGGAAATCTTTTTTTTCATTTTATCATTTGCTTGAGCTTTCTAAAAATATAATAAGTTGTAAAATCATTGTCTAAATTCGCTATGAGCACATATCCATACTTGTTTTTCGATAATTTTGGGCAGATGTTCAACTTTCTTGTGATTATTAACGGATTCTAAATCTAAAAATTTATTATTTATTTACCAGGCTCGCTTAAGAGTTTTGATGCTATACCAATCTTTTCGGCAGTTTGATTGCGTTCTTTTTCTTGTAGAGGTGGAAATTTCACGTTACGATCGCGTGGTGTACTTTTGGAACAAGAGCACGTATGATGGCAGTTTTGACAAGAGCTTCTGAGTATTTTAAAACGCATTTGTAGGTTTTCTGGAAATTTGCCACATTTACTGGATGTACTGAAAGTCAGGGACCACCCATCTGCAAAACAAAATAATATTACTAATTACAAAGATCGTAACTAGCTATCTAATAATACCAGCAATATCTTTTTTTTAATGAAAAGATTTAGGTATGTATGTACCTTCGCTTGTGGCACTATCGCTGTATTCAACATTTGTCTCAGATTCTTCTTTTGATGGTCTCTTATCGTTATCTAATTTTGCTAAATTTTTACAGTTTTCTTTTGATTTTCCGTGTTCTTCGTGAGATTGTTCCATTGGTGGACTTTCTGTTGTTGCTTCTTTTGATTTCGTATGAGCCACGATTTGCGCTCCTATGTCTATTTTCGTTTTTTTTGCTTTCTTTTTGTTACTCTTCGATCCTGAAAATTGAAAAATAGATTACTAGAGTCGGTCGCTACTACGGGAATGGTTGCTTGCATTTAATATTTTTCATAAATTGTTACCTTCTTCTGACGTGCTTTCGGGAGAATCAGGGCCTTTGTGGAGCATGTAGAATGTAATCCATCCTTTCGGTATTGACGTGAAATTTTCGTCCTTAACTCCTGCAATCGCAGCTTTCCCTTTGTAGTTTTCGTTTGGCTTGGATTTGTTACAATTATTGCAAGCAAGTGGAGATTTTGCATTTTCAGAAGCAGGTTTGTTCAGGTTTTGTTCTTCTTGGACACTTGCGTTGTTTATGGATTCTTCATTCGATATTGTCGACGAACTCTTTTCTTCTGGAATTGCCTCGAACGTTTGTTTATACTTTTCATTTATTTGCCTGGCCGATGTAGGAAGTGCTTCGAACTTGTATGTTGTTTTTACTAATTTGGGACTGTCAGGATGCTGAAAAGTAGTATTTGAATCATTTTGATTGAGAGCGTCTATCAAAATATTTGCGATTAGCTGGTCTATTTTTGAATCTTGACTGTCTCCTCCAGTTGCGGAGAGGTACACTGGTTTTTGGTCTATTTTCGGAAAATACTCTCGCAAACTTTTGGAAATTTTAGGAGCGACCATCACAGGAATTTTGGACTTGGCATGTTTAGAAGATTGATTCTCTAAACAGGCGCTGTCGACGCATTCTACTATTTGTAAAATTTCTATACGTCTACCCAAACTTTCAGCTTCTATTTTTTGATTCTTATTTGAATTTGAGTTATGAGAAATGGAATGGCTGGAGTTCTGTTGAAATATTTCATTAGTCGCATCCTCAACTTCCTTCTTAATATTTTTATTTTTCCTAGGCAGTCTTTCAGATCGGTTTCTTCGCATAAAATCAATACTTGGAAGTTCGGGTTTACGTCTCTTTCTTGCAAAATTCGTATCCGACTCGGAAGGAATATTCGAGCTTAAATTATCATTCACGGATTTGTGACGTTCACTGTAGTAAATACTTTTACCATTCTCACTAGCGCTTACGTAATTGCTATCCGATTTCGATGACGTATAATTCCGTTTCGATTGTCTCTGTTTTTGGATCCTTCTAAGTTGACGTCTGGAAAGCTTCTCTTTAACTTTCTTTGGAAGATGATCGGCTACTGGTTTTGTTTCTGTCGCTACGTTTTTTGTTCCCATTGGTATGAAAAACGAAGCAGATTTAACGTTATGTTTATGACTGTTATCCGGAAGAAGAGGAGACCATTCCTCGCTAGTGTACTGCCTCTTTTGGTCGCCATTCTTTGGGGTCTTTTGCTCTTCTAAACTATCGGCAATGCTCAATACATCGGAATCGTTATCCGTGAGGTCGTCTTCAGATGAAGCATTAACATCCATAGAAGAAGATTCTGGAACAGCTGAGTAGCGAGGTACGGAGATTCCACTTGGTTTTTCATCTGCGAAGTTCTTATCCAACTCAATGTTAGTTAGCACATGCTTGTCTTTATTTTTATTCTTTGGAATAGGGGACTTTATGTTTTCCGGCTTAATGTTAAAAACAGGAAATTGTTTAACGTGAATTGTTTTCGGAGTTGGATTAACAAGTTCAGTCTTTAATGGTACAGTATAGAAAGCAGGTGTAGCACTTGTACTGTTAGTAGCAGATTTGATATTTTGGACGTCTTTTAATACGTGTGTAAAGATCGCTTCTAAAGTAGCTCGACTTAATTGTACGTTCGAAATAACATTAAGATTACTTGTATCGTTGGTTTGAGTGGACGATTCAATTACTTCGCTCAACCGTTCGGTTTGGTTATTGTCAGTATTTTGAGATTGAATTGTATTTTTGTTGGAGTTTATTCTTGAAGAGTAAAATGTACTTTCATTAAGCGTTTCATCGTCGTCATCGTCATCATTATTATTGTTATCATCATCATCATTATTATTATTGCTGCTGTTATTGCGTCTAGGTAGACGAAACGAGAATATCGATGTGTTTGAGGCTGTTATAGAAGCATCAGTGCTTCTTTCTGCAGTTTTTGTGTAAGCGGAATCAGATGTATCAAAAGCACTCGTACACTTCTCCATTTCTAAATAATTTCTAGGAGTTGTTGTTGTTGAGTAAATTTCTGTAGACGGTTTGCTCTGATCTTTGGATGAAAAGTTTGGAATGTTTGAGGAGGACGTTGGACTCGAAACTTCCCTGTTTGTGACGACAGAACAAATTTTTCTTTTAATCTTTTCGGGAGGTATTACCGCTAAAGGTTGTTTTTGTTTTGAATTTGTGGTTGTAACCGTTGGTAAGTTATTCAGCGAACCTCGACTTTGTGATTTAGTTAATTCTTGAGAACAATGAAACGAAGGTGGACTGCGAAAACTTTTTTTATTTCTGTAAAATTGCCATTCTGTGGAGCCGAAATTTTTTGATTCAGGAAATTGTTTTATCGAGCCGAAAAACCTACGAAGAAGCGTACTTTTCCTCATACACCCGCCGCTATCCTTTTTGTTTCTATTCAAAAGCGGGTCGCTACTACAATTTACTCCTGAAGGAAAGCTGTGTATTCTGGAATCTGGAACGCGTACATTTACATTATCCCACGAGTCGGATCTTTGCTGAGCGAGGGAATGTCTAACAAGAAAAAAAACAATGAATAAAGGAATTTTCTCTATATGACACTCGTTTTCTTTATTTAAAATAACTGCACAATTTTTAAGATAAACAAGCAAACAAAAATTATTCTTTTATGAAATTTTACCCATTTAAACGCTGTTAACATTAAACTAAAATCGTTTAATTTTAATAAAACATTCGGTATGCAGATATATCGTAGCAATTCGATTAAATATCTTTGTTTTAACCTCTACTAGCCATGTTTCTCAGACAGTTTTTTTGCCTCAGTGTATTCTATAGGTAGTGTGTTTATCAGTTTCTGACATTCACATTTAATCTGAAACATTCTTATGCTCATACCATAAACTAAAAGAACTCCAGTTCAGTACAGTTCGGGCAATTTATTGTTTCACACGTGTTCTCGTGTCGCGAATCTTGCAACAGTTCTTGTAGAGATATTATGGTTCATGATGTTTTTGCATAAATTGTAAGTTTTATCCTTTATTAATCACAGTAGCTACTACTAATTGGTATAATCAAACATTTTGTTAACAACTTTTCGTTGATTTCGTTGAAATTTCGTTCTGCGTTAAAGGTAAAAAATGTAATAAACAGACAGGTAATAAAACCACAAAACTGTCTTTAATGTTCACTAATAAACATAGAATTTACTGTACAATTCATTGTTTCGGCCTGTTAAAACTTTGATAAGAGATTCTAAAGTAATAATTATGTTTACGTTATTAAATATTCATGTAAATAATTGTAAACAACAAAAATTGTTGAGCTACCCCGACTCTCACTCAATATACCTGCATACGAACGAAGTCCATACTTATAAAACACGTAATTAAATTAAAAGCAACTCATTCATAATAAGTTCATGCGGAAATTATAAAAAATATGATTATCCGAAAATGAACCCAACAACGTTTAAAATTTGACCAATAAAAAATTCAACATAAACGGAACACCTTTTGAATGAAAAATGTTTGCCATTTAAATAATTGCAAAATCCTCCTACATATGATTAATACCTATAAAAAAACAAAAATTAAATTGAAGATTTAAAGATAAATAAATTCGATAAACAAATTTTAATACTGAACAACCAACCGAAGCTAGTAAGTAGTGGAACAGTTATATTTAAATGTATAAACTGCCCCTTCCAAGAGGATCCAAAATTTTGAAAAGGGGGTTCACAAAAATTTGTACCTTTTTTTACATATAATAATATTCTATCCAGTTACGCAATTAGTTAACTATTTTCTACCTTGGCAAATAATTCGATTGAATCTATTTCATTAGGGGTCACGCCTTTTTCTTGAAATTTTATTATGTTGTTATTATTTTATCATGTACAGTCCACCGTGCAGATTAATTTAATATATGGGGGGTTGAAAAAGAAAATATGTAAAACAACCAAACCGAACCCATACCTAAATAAATCAGTCAAAAATAAGGATTCTTTTGGGCTTAATTTGCTGTAAACAAACAAAAGAAATGCACGGTAACCATATCCTTATAATCCTAATAAAATTATTGTTTGGTCAGATTTTGGCTAGATTACGATGGGAAAAAAACACGTTGTCGTTGTTGTGTATTTAATTTGTGTGTTTACACAATGTGAAACCCAAAAAAATCCTTATTTCTGAGTGATTCGTTTTATTATGAGTTCGTTTTGGTTATTTTATTTACCTTTTTTCAACGCCCCAAACCTATTGGGATCCGTCAAATGGGAGGAGCCTAAAAACATGGCGCCAATTAGGGAAAATTTATCGTAGTTCCTATAGTGTACCGTGCAATTTCCAAGTTTTTAAATTACGATAAAATGATAAGTATTGACACAATATGTGATTGGGCTGACACAA